GCTCACGTCGAACATATCGTAGCCCACTATGCCGAGGTCTATGTCCCCCAGCCGCAGCTTCCGCACGACGTCGCTGGCGCGCTGGAACCACACCTCAAGCCCAGGGATCTGCAGGGCGGCGTAGGGAGTAAGGGGAAAGGCAGCCCGGCCCGGCCAGCGCCCGGCAGATGAGCGGACGAGGGGGGACGGGGCAGGCTCGCGCCGCCTTCAAGGCCACTGCCGCGGCGTTGCGGAGATGGGTGGGGTCGGGGGCGCGCGGGGCGCGGCTGGTGGCGTGGATCGAGGTGCGCTGGGCGGGCTGGCGGCCGCGCGCGTCCGCACCTGGGGGATGGATGCGACGTACTGCCGGGGGTTGGGCTTGTACACCGAGAGCGCAGAGTCCTGCGGGGGCAGACGGGCGAGCGCGAGGCGGCGGCGGCGCAGGGGGAAGGTTGGGTGCTGCAGCGTCCCGGCAGCCCCGCCTGGCGCGCGCTGTGCGGCGCGGCCGCGGCCGCGAGGGAACCGCGCAGGCCAGCTGCCACGGAGCCGCAGCCGCCGCGCGGTCGGCCTGCCTCGCCGCCTGGCGCGCCGCACCCCAGTCCATAGTCCACTAGGGCGGCCGCGCGGACTACAGGCGTGCGTCCAGTCCACACTCGCATGCATTAGTGGCCAGTCGCCTTATGCCGGCCCGGCGCGACGCAGGCGCCGCAGCGGGCGGGACGTGTAATGGTTCACCTTGAGCAGCTGAATGGTATCCTCTGCCATGCGCCCCTTGCTGGGCAGGCCCATGCGCAGTGTGCTGCGGGGCACGGGCTTGGGCAGCTTTTTCACTGCGGGCACAGAACACGGTGACCAGGCGGCATACAGAGCACGGCCGGATTGCTCAAGGGGACTGGTTATCGGAAGGTGCCACAGGGGTGTCAATCATGCATACGGCAGGCGGCGCTTGAAACCATGCGTGCTCAAGCATGCAACGGCTGCTGCCAATGCGCGTCATCGCGCCGCCCGCTGCAGTGGCTGCGCTTTCGCCGCACCTGCGTGCACATCCTCCGCCCGCTTGACCAGGCTGCACGATACCTGTATCTGACCCCTGCGTGCTCCATTGCTGCTGCTGGCTCCGCTGCCCGTGCACCTCCTCAAGATCGGCCTAGCTCCAGCGGGCAATGAGGGCATCATAGCCTGCTTGAAGGAGCTTGTATTGCCGGTCTGGGCTGCCTGGCGCTGCAGCAGGGGTGCCATGGCCGCTGATGCTCCCGCGGTTCCACGGCCGTCAGGTGCGCACAATTGCAGCACCTAAGTGTTAGCTCTCGCCACCAATGTAATCCACCTTCATTCAATGAACCGTGTCGTCGTAGGCTTACAACTGGATTCGCTGCTCGGTGACTTCAGCTTGACTGTGGGTCAGCCCAAAAGGCTGCGGGATCGTGGATACAAGCGTTGCGCGTCTATTTTGTAATACTGGGCGCACTGTCACGCAGCAGCCTGCCGTTGGACCAGGAGTGGCGCTCGCCCCCGATGTTGATGAAGCCGTCCATCAGCTGAGCTGCCCACCTCTCCCCGCACCCTTTCAAACGCGTGTCAAGCACCCTTCGCCCTCTCAATCCATTGTGACCTGTTGTCACATGCCTGCGTCGCCGCCTGGGCGTGATCGCGGGGTTGGCACCCTCGCCCCTGGCCTGGACTTCACATGGAGGCGCCGAACTAGACGGCTGTGTATTCATGGCAGCCTTCCTGCTCATTACCCCACGTCTCACCAGCCGCCCTGGATATGTGCAGGGCGGAGTGGATGCCTGGGCACGCATGACATGGCAAAAATGCAAGCGTGCGTGCTACCCTCAGCAAAAGTGCAAAAATTGAGTGTGGAATGTACACACGCTACGGTACTGCCCACACGAGCCAAAAAACTCACAACACATGCACAGCAGGTGACAGCGCCACGAAGCCAAAAAGCAGACGCCCTGCCGCCAGCTCAATGGACTGCCAACAACAGGTATTGAAAAACTAAACCAGCATCACGTCAGTGTGCAGATTTCAAAAAGCGCCTAGCCTGGTCATGCGTCGGGGAAGACCTCCTCAAACGCGCCCTGCAGGTGCGGGATGATGTCCCCCGCCAGCATCGACCGCCGCCTCTCTGCGAACGCGCGCGCCGACGCAGCGCGCACGACCGCGCAGCCGCCGTACGCTGCATGCATCAGCGCGCGCCGCCCGTCGCCGCCGTCGACCCCGCCGCCGCCGCGCCGCGGAAAGGCCCAGCACATGAAAGCCGCGATGCTGCCTGCATGTTTGGTGCCGCGTTCAAAGCGTTTGGATACGCAGCGTGCCCAAGTCAGCAATAAAAGGAGGCCGACAGCTCACTGTGTCAAGCCAATGACAACGACGACGCCGAGCATTTGCAGCACATGCCGTCGCGACCCAAGTAAGCGCCCGCCAAAACACCGAGCCGAGGTCAGGCCACCCCCAGGAGGCGCCCCAATCGCCCGCACACCGCCCCACCCCCCAAACCTCCGCACCCGCCACGAGGTCACCCTGCCCGCCCGCGCGCCGCAGCGATGCCGGCAGGCTGCAGGCGGCGGTGGTGGCGCCGTCCGAGATCACGTCGGCCGGGCCCTTGGACACCACGATGGGGCCGTCCAAGGCGGCCGCGAGCTGCTGCGTCTGCGGGAGTTTGGGGGCAAAGGCTCAGGCTAAGGGTTGAAAGCGCACCGGGCTCCACGTAGCTAACCGCGAAGCTTCAGAGAGTTGCCCAGGGCTGCCCCAGCATGCGACGCACCAAGCGGGGTTGGGTGGGATGTGGGTGGTGCCAGATAGGCCCAAGAGGGAGGTGGGGGGTCACGCGGGCCGCGAGGGCGGCAGGTGTCGCCGCCCGCGGCCCGCACCTGCTCCTGCCACTGGGGCCCTATGGCGCCGTCGAGCTCCAGCCCCAGGCCCCCAGCCAGGCGCCCAAACTCCACCAGGTTGGGCGTTACGATGCAGCGGTCATAGCCGCGGATGAGGTCGGGGTCCTGGACGAGGGGGGGGGGCGGGGGGGCATACAGGCGG